TACAGACTAACACGGCTACTCTGAAACCTGTACTGTCAGTGTTACTCTGGTTTCTATGGTACGTTTACACTGCGCACTAAGACCTGAAGTCTGGATCCCAGGCTTGTGGACTCAGTGTTTCCAAGTCTATGCTTGAGCATCTACACTGCAGTGTAAACCTGGCTTTCCTGTTGCTGGACCTGGGTCTCACAGCCATGCTAACACATCCATATTATACTATGTGGACCTTCTGATGGATCTGCTGCTTGACCTACATCCACACTGCAGAATGACGGGGCTTGGACCCAAGTCATGGTAGGACTTGGGCTATGACCCACGCCCTTAGCAGGGACCTGGGATCCAAGTCTTGAGTGCTTGCTGACCTGAGTCAGGCTCATTTGTGTGTGGATGGAAGAGGGGCTTGGGCTCAAACCAGAGTCAGAGTCTGGGCTTGGAGTGCAGTGTAGACACACCTGATGTTGCAAGATACTTCTCGTTTCCAGTGGCTGAGAAATATGATTAAGGGTTTTGTTGGATCAAGGCCACAACCACTTTTTCTGCTGGAAATGGAGAAGAGCTGCTGCAATAGTTGGTGTTTAATAATTATACTTTAACACTAAGGGTACATCTACACAGCAATCAGCAGCCTGTGTCTGCAGGTCTCAGAGGCTAGATCTACAGATTTGGGCTCATGGAGTTCACACTTTGGTGCTAAAAATAGCTATTTGGATTTGGGCTAGAGTTTGACCTCTGAAGTCTAGGGATGGGGGTTGGAATCAGAGTCTGAGCTCCATCCGGAGCCTGCACATCTACACAGCTAATATTAGCACTGCAGTGCAAGCCCCATGAGCCTGAGTCTTAGACCCAGGCTCTGAGTCCTGCTGTCGCTTGCTGGGTAGGCATTCCCTTAGAGGGGCCCACTAGGTCAGGGCCCCATTGTAGAAAGCAGGATAAGGCTTTTAGTCTTGCCTGGCTTGAGCACTGAGTGTGCAGTTGCTCCTGGCAGTTCTTTTCAAAGGTTTTCAGTAAGTGACAATAGCAGGCCCTTTATCATATTCTCTGAGGTAGAAGAATTGTAGTCACACTAATTTCACTCTTCTGTCATGTTTATAGCTGTGACTTGAGCTGCATGCTGCACATCAGTGTGTCTTAATGTCATGTAACAGAGGAAGGCGTGTGACTGTGGAACATGCAAATCATTGTAATTATAAAGGAACAGAATATGAAATCAACAAGGAGGTAGAAGAGGAGGGTAAGTGTTTATTCACTATCTCTTACATGCCGTTACTTTCGCACAGTAAACAATATTCTGATTCTTTGGGACTGACTACAAAGTGAAGCTATGAGTCAATAAGTATCCAAATGCTATAAAGTGTGATAAGCGTGTTCAGAATTTTAGGTAGAAAAAGATAGCCGTTGTCGTTTTCAGATGTGATTAACTGCTGGGATAGTTCTTAGCACATGCTTTAGGAAGTAAATTCCCTATTTCTCACTGGTACATGAGACCTAGAAATACAGTTCATGTCAGCCATCTGTATTCAGCTGACCATTTCCAGAGAGATGCTGTGGTTTAATAGCTGGCTCCACAGTCTTGTAGTTCTGCGATTTTTATGCATGAAGCTGTCAAAAGGCAAAGGGCAACAGTATTCACTGCAAACCAGCTCACTGCCTCTTGTAGTATTGCAAAAGGCTTCAAGCTGACTGGCTCCGAGGCAGTGATTGTCTCTTACTGCTTTCAGACACGTGTTTCTTGTTGATTGCATTATTTATTATAATTTTCCCACATTTAAGCCAAGATCTATGGCATTGCTACTTTGATTTGTATGGTACCCATCTGATTGATTCTGTCACAGATTATGTTTAGTATGTTCCAATACTTTCTTATTGCCTGCTGCAGGGGGGGTACTTTAAACTACACAGTAGGGAATGAGACAGTCCAAAGCACATGTATGTCAGGAAGAGGGGGCTGCCCCCGCCCAACCCATGGCCTCCTTGAGTTTTCTGTTTGGCTATTGACTGGGCAAAGGGGGATGGGGCCAGCTTATTGGTTGCTGTGTGACCCCACCCAGTGCTCATTTAAATTAAGCCCAGGTTTTTCAAAAGCCTCTTACTCTTATGGCCTCTGTCACTCCATGCCCTTATGCAGGGGGAAGAGAAGGGGATGGGGGGGGGGGGGAGGAAGGTTTCACAACTGAACTGAGTCCAAGGGGTAAGCTAGGGAGGGTCTACCCCAAGTAATTGTTTGATTTGTGGTAAAAGCCCAGTTACACTCACTGGAACCAATTAAATACTTAGTACATGAGGTCTGGGGGTGGGCAATATGGTGTCCCTCCCCAGGCTATAAGTAATAAAGTTGGTCATGGCCTGTCATTGAAACCCATTCAATGTGTCTGTCAGTCAGTTGCCTGTTTGTCCTAGTTAAACTCAATAGTCACAGGAACACACAATTTATCAGTGTAAAGAAGCATTGAATACAGAATGCACACAGTTTACTCAAGTACATGGGGGGAGGTTGTAATTTCCCCAGGGGAGGCTAGCTCCCTGTCCCGCCTCTTTTGCCTGTGGCCCCACCTGCACTCCAATCCTGCTCCACTCCAGGCCCTGAGCCCGCTTAGCACCCCAGCTGCAGCTCACTGCGTTCCTCCTCTCCTCCTCCCTCCCCTCTTCCCACATTCCTTCTCCCCTGTCCCACAAGGCCCCCCATTGCCTGTCACTCCCTGCGTCCCTCCTGTTCTCTACACGCCCCCTTCCCCATGAGGCCCCACCACACACAGAGATGTGGCGAGCAGCAGCGGGGGGCCTCTTGGGGGATGGAGGGTGAAGGAGAGGTAGGAACGACGGACAGTGGGGGGCTTATGGGGGAGTGGGGGTGGAGGACAGGAGGGATGTGGCGAGCAGCGGGGGGCCTTGTGGGGGATGGAGGGTCAAAGAGAGGAGGGAGCGACGGGCAGTGGGAGCCTTGCGGGGGACAGAGGGTGGAAGAGAGAATGGACACAGGGTGGTGTGGGCCTCATGGAGGAGGGGGGTTGGAGGAGAGGAGGGACACGGCAAGCAGTGGGGACCTCCAGAGAAGGGGGGTGGAGTGGAAGAGGGGAGAGGAAGGACTCACCAGGCAGTAGTGGGAGCCTCGATGAAGGAGCAGAGCAGGGATGGGAAGAGGCAGAGTGCAGGTGGGGCCATCAAGGCCCAGGCAGTGGGTTGGCAGTGGCTGCACGAGGGAAGACATATACCCGACGCCTATGCTCAAGTACACATAACACCTTTATAGGGATAAAGCATCTTTTGTCCAGAAGAACTCCAAAACCTTTTATGAGCTCTAAGTAAAGGATTCATTCATCCACCACCTCAGGGGGTGAGGGGGAAGATTCATAGATTAATGCAAGTGGGGATCATTTGATTATCTAGTGTCACCCAGTTACCCCTGTACTGAGCCCAGTAATTTGTGTTTGACTAAAGCATATCTTCCTTCAAGGCAGTCAGTCTTAATTGGAGAACATTAAAAGATGGAGAATGTACTTCGATCCAGGGGTAGTTTGGTCCAGAGGTTAATTATGCTCACTGCTTTACAATTAGTGCCTTGTTTCTAATTCTAATTTGTCTGACTTTAACTTCCAGCCACTAGTTTTTGTTATGCTTTACTCCACTAGATTAAAGACCGCTTTAGTACCTTGTATTTTTCCCTCATGAAGGTACTTCTACACCATAATCAAAATGTAGCCACCACTCCGCACCCACAGAATATATAACAAATACTGCTATGTAACAAATTTTAGAGACGTAAACAAAAAATGCACTGTAATAGAGGAAAGGCGTGGGGATGATGGTGTGCTCATTCATTCCCTTTACTTTATCATTTGCTGCTTTGTCTTCACTGTCTGTCTATTCAGGTTCTTATTTTGCTGCCCATCACCATAGCTTCTGAACAATAGTCCTGTTTTCCTAAGAGTAAACTTCAGATTTATTTAGCATGTCATAGGTTACATGATTACAAATAAAGAAAGAGGCCAAAACTAGACACAAGGTCAAGCTACAAAGTTCAGATCTGAATTGTAAATCTCTCAAAGCTTGGGGAAGTTTGAATCCAGGGATTTGGTGGGGGTCTATTATAAAAATAAAGCCATTTGAAAATCCTGATCCAGATTTGGGCTTGGATTTCAGAGATCCTCAAATGTTAAGACAATAGTGCTAGTTCAACCCAATCTCTAGCCAAAACTGGAGTCTTTTATATTGCTGTCTTCCTGACCCCAAACAATACGGTTTCCAATAAAATGAGACTCGAAGCTGAGATGGATAAGACCTGAGTTTTGGTTTTAAAAAATCTAAACCTACTTCCAGTCTTGCTCATCCCTAGCAGGCAGTAAGTATTCCAAGTCCATTTGCTTTTTTTCTTAAAAAATGTATTTTATAAATGAATAATAGACACCTGAAATTGCATTGAGTGTAAACTCAGCAACTGGCTCAGCAGTGAATGAGACCTGATTACAAAAGAGTGTGCACTATGACAAGTTAACTAAAATATGCCTGCTGGCCCAAACAGCCATCTCAGCAAAATACACAAGACTTTAAACCCTGAGGAGAAAAGCCTACACAGAATGAATTCAAGGATTACAGTATGCAACTGATTCAGCACAATTTACGTCTTGATCAGCAAAGTATGCAAACACCTCCTTGAAACGGTTGAATATACAGCAGCATCAGCAAAACACTGGGAGTTAAAACAACTCAGCTTTCTGAATCGCTTGAATGCTAGGTTGTGAGACCATGTAGTGTGCTAAATGGCATCCACAGCCCACGGGAGCATGGCCAGTCAGCTTGGGCAGGGTCCCACCACCTCCTGCAGGTCTAGATTCAACTGCTTCTTCCAAACGCAGTTGTAGCAAGAGCCGTACAACATGCTCCTCTCATCACTGCGATTCTATTCTGCCTGCATCTGCTCTGCTTAGGGAGAATGCCTCTCAGCACCACAGCTTGAATGCTACATCTTCTCCCCATCCCCCATCACTAGCTCTTTAGAGAGAAACAGGAGCACAGGTGGGACCTTTTATATTTAGTGCTGTGAGCACACTGCTACTTTCTACCTGGTAGAGGTTAAGCAGCTTACCTCCACAGCACACCAGCTCCTGCTGGTCTGAGCAGCAGGGCACCTCACCTATCTAAATTTACATCCTCTCTGCACTGACATTAGACTAGGAAGCCAGCCCAATAACCCAGCTTTGTTGCCTCTCCCATGTGCTCTCAGTCTCTCCCCTACCCTGCATTTTTCCAATGTTACTCAAACTAGTCCTCACTCTAGCACTCATGCCTTCAATTATTATTCAGAAACTTAGCTGGAAACACTTATGGTACCACTCACATCTTCTTTCAATATAGGAGTCCAATTCACATTTTTTTCCACATCAAACTAATGTGCAGCATGGTTGGTCTCCTAACAAGATGTTTAACTGGGAATAGTCAATTTAGTACAATAAGTTTATGGTAGCCAGGGGTTGCAATATTATTACATATAAGTGGAAAGTTACAATAATGTGCAAATTCATGCACTTGCTTCTGGACTAGGCTGCCATTTTTCACAGAACAATGTTCAGGCATTAAGCAGGAAAAATGGGTCCTCTGGAACCTTGAGGTTCTCCAGGAGGATAAGTCAGGTTCTTCTTTGAGTAGTGTCCCTGTGGGTGCTCCACTCTAGGTGCCCTTGCACCCCGTGTGCCTTCGATCAGAGATTTCACACAGTAGTGTCTGTTCAGCCTGTGCATGAGTGTTACTTGTCTTATGCTCTGTTGTGCTGCATGGGGAAACAGCCCTCCGCTCCTTCTCAACTGCCCTTCAATTTCCTTCCCAGGAAGATCCTTCACCCCAATCTTGAAGTCCTACTCCTCAATGCATGGCTGGTGGATGGTTCATGGGATTAGAAACAACCTGTCCAGAGGAAATAAAAAGAGTGCTATTACACAGCAGAAAACAGTCTACACACTACACTTACTTATAAAAAATGGACAAGATTTGGCTGCTGGTGTGACCTCAAACGCATTCCACCAACAATCTCATTGCTGTCAGATATACTGGACTACATCCTAGAATTGAAAATTCAGGGCTGTCACTGAGCTCCATTAGAGTTCACCTGGCATCTACCATGGATTTCCATTCCCAAACAGATGGTTATTCCATATTTGCTCACCCAACAATGAGGTTTCTTAGTTGTTGCTACCAATCTTACACATCTGAACTCACTCTACAAGGTTTATTTCCATTTCTATAGACTTTCTAAAAAATGTTCCCATAATTGAAATATGTAGAACCATGACTCTGACTGCTATACATATGTTTGCTGTGCACTATGCAATAACTCACTATTCCGCATCCAATGCTGTAATTGGCTCGATTATACTTTCTTCAATATTGGACTCAATTTCAAAGCCCCCTCCTCCTTAAGGGGGACTGCTTGGTAGTCACCTCGAGTTGAACACTCATAGAGACACTGCTCAAAGAAGAAGAAAGTGTTACTGCACAGAGAAAGTAACTGTGGTTCTTCAAGATGCGTGTCCATATTGGTGGTCCAATATCTGCCGTCCTTCCCCTCTGTTTTGGAATTCTCTGCTGTGGAGTTTCATGGTAGAGAAGGAGCTGAGGGCAGTTCACCAGTGCAGTGCTGTATAACAGAGCAGAGCATGAAACTGAGCAATACACATGTGCTGCCTGAACAGACACTGCTATGAGAAATCTCTGATCAAAGGTGCAGGGGGCGCAAGCGCCCTAGGGTGGAGCACCCATAGGGACACACATCTCAAAGAAGCATAGTCATTGCACAGGGTGAGTAACCATTTTGTCCAGTTTAAAGAATGTGCAGTACTCCCATCAAGGGGAGTTTCATACCCTGAGTGCAGGCATTGGGGACCTCCTCCCCCCCCCCGGAAACTTTATTGGGAAACTAGAGATGCTCTCATCTAGGGTAAGGAGTAATGCTTACAATCCAATGTGCTGATTATAGGACACAGAAGTGGACAGTATGGCATGGCAGTAGGCTGGGCCACCCTGAAGACAGAAAAATCTAACAGGCTGGTTAATGAACTCTCCCACAACAAGACTAAAAACATAAATCCCCAACTCCCAAGGTGTATGCTAGAAAGGTGCATGTTATAAAAACATGCCTTCAGTGTTAGCCGGCTTATAGCTGGTGGGGCCTGTTATTGTGGGTGAGGGACTCCAGTGATGAGCTAGAGCGGAGCTCTCTAAGCTGTGATATGAGGTCTCTCAGATCCACATTACTACTGCTTACCCTTCTCCACGGCAGGTGCCTCTCAGTGGGGCAAATTCTGATAGCCCTTCCACACTAATACGGGTATGTCCTCTCTTGACCTCTGGTATCTAGCCCTGTCACTTTCCTCTGAAGTTCTTACAGACAGCATACCGGATATTGGGCTCTTTGTGTCAGCCACAGGAGCTTGCAAATAATAAGAGCTAGTCTACACTAGAACCGCTACATCGGCGCAGGGGCACTGATGCAGCAGGGCCACTATAGTGCATTTAGCGAAGATGCTCTCTCCACCTCCATGAGAGGCAGTAGCTATGGAGGCAGGAGACGCTCTCCCACCAACATAGCATTGTCCACACCAGCACTTAAGTTGATGTAAATTATGCCTTTCTGGGGGGGGTGGCTTATTAACACTCCTAAGTTACATAAGTTATACCAGAGTAAGAGGTAGGGTAGACCTAGCCTAAGACAAGAGCTCTGGTTAAGCTCACTCTTCCTTCATTTCTCGCTCTTGTCATTTAAATGATCAGCTGGATGTGCATGTGACAGTACTGATGCCTTGTGCCCAGTCTGGAAAAAAAAACAACTCAGCATCTTAGAATTTCCTTTGGGTTTTATAATATAACACTTTATGCTTCATGAGCACCTTCCATCCAATGATCCCAAAGGCCTTTAGGAACATTAATACATTTACTCTCACAAAACCTCTGTGATGTTCAGGAGGGAAGTACCGTTATCTCCATTTTGCATATGAAGAATCTGAGGCACTAAGCAATTAATTGACTTTCCCAAAGTCACACAGGAAATCCAGGGCACAGGCAGCAATAAAAACCCACATCACAGTCTTATGATTTAGCCAGAATATCAAAATATGTTCTCCTGGTTCCTATACACTCCTTTTTTTTAGAAGGCAGCAGCCTAAAATCAAAGCAATAGCCTCTCTATGGAATATTTAGATAAGCTCCACTGAGATGGACTGGATTAATAAAAAACACTCCCTGATCTGATTTGTATTTGGATCAAAGAAACCTTTTTTCACTGGATTTCATTCTGGGGGTGGAGGCTTCTGATTCAATAATATGTGACTCATATGACAACATTTCTTTAAAACTCATAAATCTTTTAGTGTATTGAGGCGTGACACATTTAGGTATAAAAGTCCTGCTGCTGAGTCATGCTGAGAACCTCCAATTTTCATTGGCGATAGTGGGAGTGGATAGCACTCCGCACCTTGCGTGGGCTCTCAGCATTTTTCAGTTTGGGGCCCAGAGACTATCTTGAGCAATATTCTGTTATAGCTGTGTTAATACTCATTGCCACCCATATGTTTGCTTAATGTTTCTTTCCTTTAGTATAAATAATGTATCTGAAGGGCTCCCTACATCAATATGCTGTAATTATGGGTTAGATTTGTCTTTTTAAACACCCAGATTGTGTATATGAAAGATACTAATCATCCTTTAATCTAAAGCCTCAAACCAGACAAAGTTGTAGTAAACCATTTTCAGATGTCTAAGGAACAGCTCCAGCAATTTTAAAGAGCCAGGGCAACAAGGCTTTTTATATAAATAGTTTCAAAATAAATACAAAAGAAGGCAGAATTCTGAATTTGCAGGTGACTTCTTCTAACACCATCCTTGAAAAACATCTGCTGCCAAAATGATGACCAGACTTCTTAACAGATTTTTACCAGAAGGGCTAAAATTCAGGGCCCGCAAATTATCATTGTTTTAACAAAAAACACCTATGTTTAAGATGCCTAGAGAATTGCTGGAAAACAGAAGCCCGAGTAAGGCTCCCTTTACAATGAATGGGGAGGGTAGCATTGCCAGGTTTTTGACGCGAACACCCGGTTGAAAGGGACCCTGGCGGCTCTGGTCAGCACTGCTGACCGGGTGGTTAAAAATCTAGTTGGTGGCACAGCAGGGCTAAGGCAGGCTCCCTGCCTGCCCTGGCTCTGCACAGCTCCCAGAAGTGGGCTGGTATGTCCCTGCGGCCAGGGCTCCACAGCTCCCATTGGCCGGGAAACGCGGCCAATGGGAGCTGTGGGGGTGGCACCTGCGGCTGGGGCAGAACGGCCTGGCTGCCCCTGCGCCTAGGGGCCAGACATGTAGGCCACTTCCAGGAGCTGCCTGAGGTAAGCACTGCCCAGAGCCCACCCCCTGACCTCCTTCCCCAGTCCTGAGCCTCCTCCTGCACCCAACCGCTATGCCCCAGTCCTGAGCCCCACTCCCACACTCCAAACCCCTCAGCCTGGCCCCACCCCAGAGCCCACACCCCCAGCTGGAGCCCGCACCTCCTCCCACACTCCAATCCCCTGCCCCACGCCCATGAAATTGAGTGAGGGTGGGGGAGAGCAAGTGACAGAAGGCAGGGGGGATGGAGTGAGTGGGGGACAGGGCCTCGGAGAAGGGGCAGGGCAGGAATGGGGCAAGGGGTGGTGTAAGGATGTTCAGTTTTCTGCAATCAGAACATTGGCACCCCCAGGGGAGAGAGAGGTGCCTAAGAGTGGCATCCACAAAATCCAGCATGCCAGATAGCTCCCTGTCTTGGCTAGCCATTAGAAGATACTGAGGAGAGAAGTGCATCCTAAGTCTCAGACTCTGCTTGGGATCCACAGCTGGGAACCTACTCCTGGAGTCAGGTGGATTAGGTGCCTAAGCCGTTTTTTGCAAAAAACAGAGGAGGAGATGGTGGCAGCAGTGAGATGGTGGCAGCCACCACCCTGCTAACGTTTAACCCAGTGTTTAGAGCAGTCACCTTGTATGTGAGGCTTCCACGGGCAGGTTCCCCTTTCTCCAAATGTGGAGAAAGGACTTTAACACAGGTCTCCCGCCTCCCTGGAGAGTGCCCTCACTACAGGGCTATGGGAGGTTCTGCTGTGGAGCTCTCAATCTCTCCTCTTGAAGCTCTTCCACTTAGATAAATAAAAGTCATTAGGACAGCAAGAGAATGACCTTATAGCCTGCTGTTTAGGACACTCCCTGGGTAAATGCGAGACCCAGGTCCAGTCCCCCTCTCCAATGACTGCTTTCTTATTTATCAAAGCTTCAGCAGGAGAGACTGAGGGAGCCTCACATCAGACTATCCCATAGCCAAGTGGTTAGGGTACTCTCCTCTTCAAGTTATTTCTCCTACTCAGGCAGAAGGAAGAATTGAACCAGGGTCTCCCACATTCCAAGTGAGTCCTACAAATACCAGGCTAAATGTGTAAGGGAGATGGCACTTCTTCATCTTGCTGGATTTTTGTGCAGGGCTTGATTGGGTAGGTGTGCTCAGAGCACACTTACTGGATCAGGCCCCCGGCTGACATAGGTGGGGCAATGTATCTTCACCTGGTTTGAGGGTCACACTGGAGGTTAAGCATGAAATACACATCCAGCCATCTAGAGTGAGGTGGTGTGCACATGCCCAGAGGCAGAAATTTAGGCACCTCCTGAACTTTTATGGCAAACATTAAAGTGCCACGGAATTTTGGGCACCTACAGGTTTAGTTGGCAGCCAAGCAGAGATTCTGAGGATCTCAAGGGCACCTACATTTTGGCCTTTAGGTACTGAATGCCTTTTGATCTGAACTTAAGACAATGGCTGAAGTCCCATAGGTTCCAGTCCAGCAAAACAACTGAAGTACATGCCTTGACTTTAAGTGTCACATTAATTGGATCAG